CAGAGGTCCAGCTCTGTGAGCCGGATAGGGAGCTGTGCACCTGGATGCTTTCAGCCCCCTGCCTTTAGACAGGGGGTCTCAGGGTGAGAGGCCCTTACGGCCCCAGGTGGCCTGGATAGGAAGGTCAGCAGTAGGTAAGGGCAGAGGCGGGAGCAACCTGGTTCCCCGGCTGCAGAGAGGATAAAGCACCCGGTTGCTGGTCCCTGGTCTACAGTCCAGGCATCAAAAGGGCCAGCACCCGAGGACCAGAGCCCCCATGGCAGGCTCTGCCCAGATCCGTTCCCAAGTCCCCAGGCCTGGCTGCTGGCCTGGGGCAGCGGGAGATGTCTCCTGGGAAGAGTGGAGAATCTGGCCTTGGGCACAGCAGCAGGCAGAGGCTGCCTTTGGCTTCTGCAGCCATGGAGGAGCAGAAGAGGGGCCAGGAGGGACAGAGGGTGAGCAAAGGTTCAGGACGAGGAGCCCAGACAGACCCCTGCAGCTGGGACATGCTCCGGCGGATGCTCTGTCCCCGAGGCTGGGTCTTTGCCTCCCAGCAGCCCCCTTCCGGCTCCCTCGACAGTGGGTTCAGAGCTACAGTCAAGTAAGGCCCACGCCACTTGGTCACGCCTTAGGCACACGACCCTCCGTACTGGAAGGTTTCTCAGGGGACCCCACCTCTGTCCCTGGTGGCCACTCGCTCACTTGCACGAGCACCACTCTCTCCCCATCCCAGAATTCCCCCTGACACAACTGCCCCCGGTGGGGACAGTTCTCCCAGAAGCCCCAGGAGTGCAGTGTCACAACTTCTCTGGGGTCCACAGCAAGCTCGCTGTCCCCCAGCCCTTCACCTCTGGGCAGGCGGCCTCCTGGACAGGTTCTGGTTTCCAGACTTCTGATCACACAGCCCCGTTCCCCTGTGCTCTGCTGCTCATGGTCACGACTGGGGTCTCATCCTGCTCCCCACCCAACCCCATGCTTAGCAGCCGGTCCTTAGTGTGGGCACCCGCCATCTCTCCTGGCACCAGTAGTGGCATGGACGCTTGTTGTATTGCGCTGGCCGATCCTTTCAGACCACGCTTCTCCCCAGCCGCGGCAACTTTAGAGGAGGCCGCTTGGGCCCCCAGGGGGAAGGGGAGCATCTCTGGCTGGGTGGCCCTGTCCAGGGGAGACTGGGAGCCTAGAGAGAATGAACACAGACCTGGCCGTGCCTCTTGAGGTCCCTGAGTGACAGCCCCATGCTTGCTCCTCAGCGCCCCCTGTGGGCTGCCAGGTGGGTGGACAGGCCCATTGCAGGCCTGGGGCTGGCTGAATTGTGGTGAGGACCCATGACCTGGCTTCTCATGAGCTCATCCAACCGTATCCCCTCCCCAAGGCCCGTCTCCAACCATCACTTGCAGGGTTGGGCTTCAACAGATGAGTTTGGGGGACACATAAGTTCAGTTCCCAGCCTGTGTCACCTCTAGGCTTCAGCAGAAGCTCAGGCTCACGGGTGGCTGGCAGAGCCGGCCGGGCTGGAGGTGGGGTGGTGTGCACAAGCACCCTGGCCCGTGCCAGAGTGTGTGTGTGTGTGAAGTCCCTGACACCCAGCGGGGGCCCCCCACCCGCCCCTGGAAGAAGGAGCCGTGGGAGTGGTGTGGGCGGCGATGGCTCCCAGGAGCTGGGATGAGAGGCTTTTATGGCCAGAACAGTATGGTGGCTGCCGCTGCTGCCGCTGCTGCTGAAATTTAAGTAATTTTCCCCTAATTAAGCAATTATCTCAGAGATAGCTGCTCCCATCTCCAGGAACTTCTTGTGGAGGGTGGGCAGCAGTGAGCCGGGGGTGCAGAATTGGGAAGTCCCAGATATAGAAACACCCCAACTGCGAGTCTCCCACGAGCCAGGCAGCAGGGGAGGGGCGCCTGGGGCCTCGCAGGCGGGTGTGGAATGGTGGCAGCTGGCCCACGGGCTGCCCTGCCCCCCCTGGAGCCCAGTGCACTCACAACAGGAGGGGGAACCCACCAGGGCCCCGGGGCTGGGTTTTGGAGGAGCCTGGGAGGCGCCCAGAGCCTCCAGGCTGAAGCCCTGGAGGAGACAGCAGCCTCCCTGGGGCGGTCCTGAAGCCCAGGGCTGGCTCCCACCTACTCCCACGGGCCCTGGAGGGAGGAGTGACCAGCACTAACCTCCTCCAGAGGCAGACAACACACAGGTGCCCCCAGACCCTTCTGGAGGCCTCAGACCCGCAGCCCAGGGCTCAGACCGGCAGGTCCACTGCAAGGAGGCCCAGAGAAAAGGGAACTGCAGGGAAATGACCGTGGGGGAGGGGTTCCTGCCAGCAGCCTCAGGCACTGCATGGGCCAGAGCTTCACCAAAGGTCTGTTTGTGTTTGATTTGGTCCTTTGAGCTGACCAGGCCCTGGAACTTTCCCTACATAGTCTACCCAGATGCCTCCTCCCCACAATTCCTAAGCAAGGAACCGATTCTCGTCCCCAGTCACTGGGTCTGGCTGAGGAAGGAGGCTCAGGGGCAGGGGAGGCTGGAGGCAAGAGGCAATTCCTGGATTTGGGAGATGGGACAGGGAACCAAGGCTTCCTCACCCACGGGGCCAAGGTGGGTGTGTGGCGAAGCCACCCATGGCGGGCGGGGAGGGTGGGGGACATCAGAAGCTAGGAAGGAAAGGGGCCTCCGCCTGTCAGTGCTAACCATCTCACCACACAGGGAAGGCTTTTAGAAAGGTCTGGCGCTACCGTGGGTAGGACCAGGTGGCGCTCCCTCCCGCTGACTGCACTGCTGGGCCCCTGCACAGATCTTCCAGTGGTGAGAGGGACATCCCCACTTCCCCAGGGGGGGGGTCAGAGACCCCGGCACACACTGCGGGGACCCCCGGGGTTGCAGGGCACCATCTGGGAGCCCCCACAGAAATCCTCTCTGGCGGCCTTCCCTGGGGAGGGAGGGTGCTCAGCTGTTGGAGTCCCAGACCCTGCGCCCATCGGTCCACCTCTCGGTCCAGCCTGGTCTCCCCAGCGTGTTTAGCGGCCACTCCTTCCAGCTGCTAAGTGTGCCCTTAGACTCCATGAGGGGCACCCAGGGCTCCGCGGGGCTCCTCGGGGGACCAGGGGTAGAGGCAGCGAGGACCACAGAGGGTGGAGAGGCCAGGTGTGGCTGGGGGGGACCGGGAGCCCCCTGCACAGAGAACGCGAGGGTCAGACGCATGAAGACCCTGGCGTTCCCGCTCCGCAGCGCCCAGCTCTGGCCGCGGTTCTAGACAACTCCATGCCCACAGGCTCCAGGGGATCAAGTTCCACTGTGTATCCCCAGAACCGCAGAGGGACCTGCACTGGAGGGAAGGCAGCACCTGCGAGGCCATGCAGAGAGCTTGGTTCTCTGCAGTGGTCCCTGGGGAATGCGTTCCGGGCTGGTGGGGGCCCAGGACAGTCCTTGAGTGTTCAGCAGGTGCAGAGGGGACGTGGGGAGGGACGTGGGGAGGCACGAGGGCCTGGGGAATGGTCTGGGTGGGGTGAGGAGAGGCAGGCAGCGGGGCCTGGGCGCTGGCAAAGCACAGTCTGAAGAGCCAGCGGTTCCACGCTGATCTCATTCAGGCCACATTTATGGGGCACCTACTGTGTGCCAGGACCCGGCAGGAGGCTGCGGGGATTACAGCGACAGATGCCCTAGCTGGCTCTGACACCACGCTTGGCTTTAAGGGGTCTGGAAATGACGGGAGCTGGGACTGGGCTGTGAAGGAGGTGGTGGCCGCGAGAGAACACGGCCTGGAGCCAGATCCCGAGGGTCGAAAGTCGGCTTCCTCCTCCCACAGAGTCTTCTATCTTGGGCAGAACGTCGACTCTCTTTCTGCCTCGGTTTCCTCGTCTAGAAAATAAGGACCCCCCTAGGAGCTGCTGTGGAGGGCTCTTCCGGTCGGGCACGCCACGCCTCCCCTCAGGGTCGGTTCTGATCCGCTGTTTAGCTGCCGTTTGACCAGAGAAGCGTGATGGCCGAGGGACGCCGTCGCTCATTGTCATCTCATTCACTCATGAGCGTGGGGAGCCTGGGAAGGCCTCACGGAGGAGGGGACTCTGACCTTGGCTTTAAGGATGCACTGAAAGGGTAAAGTTTCTGAGCTGCAAAGCCTGAGTTAAAATGTAAAGGACCAGGTATTGTAAAGTTTCTGAACTGCACACAGAACCTGAAATTCCTGAGGCAGTTAAGACAATGCCCGGTACTGACCAATTTTAGTTGTTAAATAACCTGGACACTGTGCAGTTTGGCACGTAGGCATTCAGGGCCCCAACCAATCAGTTTAGGAGTGACCTATCACTCCCGCCCGACCTGTTCCCGCCAATGAATGTGCTAATCATGTTTGAGAGTTGTTGTTCAATTTTCCTGCACCTCATGATGATTTGCTCTGATGTATGCAAAGCTCCCGCCCTCCCCCAAAAGTGTACTTAAGCTCTGCTTAACCCCTGCTCGGGGCTCTGGGCTGCTCTCCCTTCTTGAGTGTACATGGAGCCCCAGCGGGCTGGATCCTCAATAAATCCCCTTTTGCTATTGCATGAGCCGGTCTCTTGGTGGTCTCTTCCTGTGACGTTCGCCGGACCCTTACAGCACAAAACCTGCACAAGTGGAGGAGGGCGGCCAGACTTCTGGGCAAGGCCTCCAGGATGTGAAGTCACCGAGGGGTGACAGTAGTACTGCAAGGTACACCTGGGCGGGGAGGCGTGGCGTCCCTGGGGTGTCCTGGACGTCTTTGGGAGCCCCTCCTAAAATGTATCATGCTGACTTCAGGCTGCTGGACAGTGGGCCGGTGGACACTCACGTGGGGAGAAAGCCAGACATGGACACCTGCTCAGCTGCCCTGTCCCCTGCAGTCCTGAGTGGGATGCAGGTGGCTGGAGGCCACACTGATCCGGCCAGACCCTCAGGATGGGGAGAACCCGGAGAGAGAAGAGGACAGAGCCACCAACAGCAATACAACACGAGGCACCCCTGCAGAACCAGGTCTCCAAGGAGCCACGCCGGAAAGGCGAACAGATCGGGAGAGATCGTCTGTTACCACATATTTTATTTAACCCAACACATGGAAACACTGTCATTTCCACACGTCATGAGTACAAAGGATCATTGGAGAGCTCTCTTCATTATTTTTCATCCGAAGTCCTCCAAGTCCAGTCTGTTTTTCATCCCTCCTGGGCTCCACAGCTCCATGTGGCCTGCGGCTGCCGTCCCACACAGCACCGGGCACCAGACCCCAGTGGAACGTCCCCACTCTCCAATCCAGAGTGTTCCCCACGGCCTCCCAAGGGCGTCACATCTGGAGACAGCGACCAGGGGACCCTGGCAGATAGTCAGGTCATGGGTACGGTTCCCGTCTGCCCCTTCTGCCCTGCCTGGCCACCGTCCCACCTCCTCTGTGTGCAGGGTGGCTGGGGCCCGGGTGCCTTAGGGCTGCTCTCAAGGGCGCCCCACACCCTGGCTCTTCCCGGTTCTGGTATCAGAGCAGCCCTGGGCTTGGGCGGAGGACACCATTGGAAGAAGAAAAGGAACCTGGGAGCGCCCCGGCTGGGAACTCGGCAGCTGAGAGAGGACCTGCCCTGATCCTCCCCTCCCCAGGCTGGCCTCCCCTTCCCAGCACACAGGCACACGGAAATGCCGTCACAGAATCTGTTGGTTCGGTGCCCACAAACACGCCAGGCACTGTTTTAATGACAGGAGCCCATGTAAGCCTCAGAACTACCCTTGAGATAGACCCTATTATTCCCTCCATTTTAAAGACGAGCAAACAGAGACACAGAGAGGTGAAGCATCTTCTTTAAGGTCACACAGCTAGTTAGTGGGGCTGCCAGGATTTGGACCTGGGTAGAGCTCTACCGAGGTATCGGTCCTCCCTGACCGTCCTTGAAGCGCCTAAGTCTGCTGTCACCTGGAAACTATCACAACGCGGGGAGAAGGAGCTGGGAGATGGAAACGCTGGGAGGCAGAGCTGCTGTCTGGCACCGTGGTGCAGCTGGACCAGATGGTGGAGAAACTACAGCCACTGCCTGGCAGGGTGGGAACAGGGGTGCAGACAGGCGGGTTCCCAGGAGACGGCTTGCCAGGAGGGTCTCTGGCTCCCCCCTGGAGGGGGTGCCCAGGGAAGGGAAGCCTGTGACTTCATCCTTGGGCCCAAGGCCAATGACATCACCGGGAGCCAGGAGCCAGGAGCCAGGCCCGGCAGGTTATTTATGGAACCGGCTGGAGGCCAGGCCCAGCCTCTGAGCTGTTTCAGATGTGGCTGGATAGAGCTTCCAGCTGCCCATGGGGGCCACCAGGGCTGGCGGAGGAGGGAGGAGGGAGGCCGGAGGAGGGAGCACCTGGGCCCGCCGAGGGGCGGGGCTGCTTGGGGCTCCATGGGGGCGCTGGCAGGGGTCCCTGGGCACAGGCTTGGAATCTGCCTCTCATCCCACCCCTGCTCCGACAGGGCGTCTGGCAAGCAGCCCTCCCTCGGGGTCTGGGACTGGATGAGCTCAGAGAGGGCGGCAGGAGATGTCGACGGAGCAACCTCTCCAGTCTGCACTTTGGTCTGCGCCCGTGGGTGTGGGCCTGTGTGCACGGCTGACCTCGGGAGGATACGCCCTCGGGCTCCTGGCCTGTTGGTGTCCTGAGGGTGGTGTGTGCCATTGGCACCGCTGCCTGTCCTGTGTGCACGCGGGGGTGGAGGGGGAGAGAGAGGGCACGGGAGCTGGCTGAGGAAGAGGGACCACTGGGAAGAGAAATCACTGTAGGAAGATGGGAAATATAATTTCAGTGGAAGATACAGAGGCACTTATAGGAGCTTCAGCAAAACTAGACAAACCTTTCAATCCATTTATCAAAAATGCCTGCAGCTCTGCTCCCAAGCAGGTGCAACAGGAATAAAATATTGAGCAGAAGCAGTGATTGTGGGCCTGGCGGAAGCCCATAAATAAGGAGTTCCTGAGACGTTCGCCCTGACCCGACAGCTTTGCTCCGGCCCATCCCTCCGCCCATCTCACCCTGTCGTCTTAATGGGTGATGCAGGAGCAAGCAGGCCGGGGCCCAAGGGGCCAGAGCTCTAGCCTCTGGTGGGCCCAGGGAGCTGGGCAGACCGCAGGGGCCAAGCCCCACACAGACAGGCTTTGGTCTGGTGGCTGCTGGGGTCACTTCTTTTTTAATATTTATTTTTTAGTGGGTGGTGGACACACTGCCTTTATCTTATTTATTTTCGTGTGGTGCTGAGGTCGGAACCCAGGGCCTCGCACGTGCAAGGTGAGCGCTCCACCGCTGAGCCCCAGCCCCAGCCCTGGGGTCACTTCCTGCACCTCTTGGGCTCACTAACTGCCCTCCTTCCCTTGAAGCCCTCCCTGAGGGAACCGAGTCCCTGAGAACCTGAACGGTGCCTGGCTGCTCTGGGGGCCCCCACGAGGCAGCATGGGGGTGGGAACAGGGCCAGAGAGCAGCTCCTGAACCCCAGCCCAGCCTGTGCCCACAGGATGGCCCTGCCTCCCGTGCCCAGAGAATGTGGGTCTTTGGGTGGTCGGTGTGGGGTGGACATTCTGCTGAATGGGGTCCCCCTCCCTGGCACCCCCTCTCTCAGGCCACCCCTCTTCAACCCAGAATGCCTTCAAGAGCCCACAGAACAGGGCGTCCCGTTGGTCTTCTCACCTCCGAGCCCACCAAACAGTAGCGGGCGCTGGCCTGGCCCCACCACCCGCCAAGAAGGGAACCTGAACCCGGGTCACGGCGGCAAGGACCCAGAGGGCGGGAGAACCTGCCCGCCCCGGAGCTGCTGCCCAGGGCAGTGGGAGTCCACCGTCAGAGCCACCCCAGCTGCCATCGGGGGAGGCGGGGACAGTGAGGGGAACGGGGCTCACAGGAGCAGGAAGCCGAGGGATGGCCAGGGACAGAGGGAGGACCCTGGCCTGGTGGGAACAGGGCCGTCACAGGTCACGTGTCCCCAGCAGGTGGGAGCCCTGCTTTTCCTAGGAATCCCTGGAAGGTAAACAATGGCCTCTGGACCTCAGGGTGCATCGCACTGGGGGGCCTCCTTGTCCCTTTGCCAGAGGGCTGGGGCCTTCTGCGGGTCCCGTGGAAGCTGCCAGTCAGGGGGCCCCCATCTCCTGGGAACCCCCCCCACCCCCACCCCCCGTCCCTTCCCTCCCGCCTCCTCCTACATCCTCCTCCTAGATGCAGAGGGTCCATTCCAGGACCCAAGCCTGGCGCCATGTCAGTCGTGGGCCTGGAGAAGGCAGCACACTGCGGAGTCCACAGCTGGGAGGACCTCTGCCCCCCCACTCCCCAGGCGCTGTCCCCTTTGACGTGGGGGTGGAGCTCCCGCCAACTCCATCCTGGGATGGGGAGGGGAATAAGCAGGGACTGGAGAGCCGGGTCTGGTTCTCAGGCTGGCGCTGTGTCTACTGCGTTTCTGTAGAGCTGCACAGGCCGCCGCAGAGGCCGCCGGCCCCAGGACCCTGCCCTCCCGGCTCCCCTGCAGCCCAGTTTGCTGCTGCGCAGGCCCAAGTGGGGGAGGGGTGGGCAGGAAAGTTGCCAGGGCAACCATCCCAGCTGGCTCTTTCCTCTGCCTTTGGGGATCTGTGAGGAGGGGAAGCAGCGTTCTCCTGGGGTGCGGGGTGCAGGCTCGCAGGATCAACACGACGGAGCTCCATCCCAGCCATCATCTGCTCCCCAGCTGCGGGCCTTACCGTCTCCTTCAGAGATCACATCTGCACTTCCATCAGGGCTGGCGGGGGCCGCGGGGCTGTCCCTGGGGAGCTGGGGGAGGCTGTCATGTCTCTGTTCTCGTATTCACCCCCCCACCCCGCGCCGAGCGAGCGTTCGGATGATAATGTCGCCACGCAACGGCTCTGTGTCAGGGTTTGCTCGTTCAGCAGTCAGGACGAGGAGTCTGCTGTCCTCGTGCTTCAGATGGGGACACTGAGGCTGAGAAAGGCCGTGTGACTTGCCCATGCCCACAGGTAGAGAAGGAGAGACCCTGGACCCCAGCCCCGGGCTGAATGGCTCCAAGCCAGCGCTCCTGCTTCCAGGCTCCCCTGTGGATTTGACTCTTGTGACCACCCATGGGACCTGTCCTCCATGTGCAGAGGGGGCTGCTGGTCTGGGTGGCCTGGGACTTACGACCCAAGGCCCTGCATACTGGGAACCTGCTGGGTCCTAGGCACCCTGAGAGGGTCAGTCCCCTTGGGGGGTGCACACGGTGGGCGCCTGAAAGGGGTACCCGGGATGAGCCCAGGGGATCCGCCTGACGTGGGTTCAAGGTAGTTGAAGGCTCCCGTCGGGGAAGAAGGAGGCGGCCTGGTGAACCTCTTCCCGCCAGCTCCTCCGTGACTCTGAGCGTCACGGGCTTGGTCTCCCCCTTCTCCGCTGGAAACCAAGCACACGGCTCCTCTCAAGTCCTGGCTCAGTGCGCCCCCTGCCCCTGACTCCCGCCACGCCTGCCCCTGGCCCCGACCCCACCTGCGTCTGATTTCCCTGTGCATGGTAAACGGAGGCCGGGTTTCCCTCAGCCTCTATGCCGCAAAGCTCCACCTTCCACGAGCCAGGTCCCAGAGGGGTCATGGAGGAGGCTGGGCTGAGAGGGAGGTGTGGCGGGGCTCGGGCAGCGGGACGCGGGTCCTGCACCATCCGGAGGCCAGCGAGGTCGGGAAAGGTGAGAGAAAGAAAAGCAGGAGAAAGACAAAACTTGCCGCGGAACAGAAAAAAAAGTTCAATCAGATTTGTAAAGGGCACAATTTACAAATCCGTCACATATTTTACTAGGCTGGGATTTACGGATTAGCCTGTAATACTTAGGCGGCTTTTTGTAATAAAACCCTGAGCCGAGGCAGCCTTGGGGGAGTGAGGAGGAGGAAGGAACCTTCTCTCTCCATCTCACTTTCATTTTCCCAGCATTTTTTTGATCTAGGCAGCCCCATTAATCTATGCTTTATCTGCCTATGGAGAAGGATTGAGCTCTTTATTGGATTTTTGTCAAGAATAAATGATTTAGTTTGGGATATTGTGGAAACGATTTTTGTGGTATTACACCATCTAATAAATGAAACAGCAGGGATCAATCCCTTGCTCGCGATGTGTTCAACAGGCTGGGTGAAATATGCCCCACAATTATTTGGTATTGCACTCTATGGATATTTATAACCGAGCGCGACTGCACGGGTAGGTTTGCCCAGGCCGGGGCACCTGTCCTGGGTGCGGTGATCCATTGGCCCCGGAGCACGAGACTTGGGCCTCCGGTGACGGGCCACTCAGAAATGCAGACCAAGGTCACGTGGGCGGTCAGGGTGAGCGCCGGAGGGAAGGAGTCGGGCAGGAGCTGAGGTCCAGGGTGGGAGGTTGCCGTTCCCAAGGCCCTGGACTCGAACGGGTCTCCCGGAGCTGGTGGAGGGTCGGGAAACTGCAGGACGGGACGTCATTGCCACAGCAGGCTGGCAACCCCGAGCAGGTGGGTTCCACTCTCACTGTCCCGGGTGCCCAAGTCCTCGTCCCCCTGCGCCCTCTTCCTGGACATCACCTCCCGGGAAGACGCCTGGACGTTCTCACAGGTGGGAGGGATCGCAAGGTTCACATCCCCGGAGGCCCACACGTATTTATTGAGAGCCTCTTCTGTGACAGTGCTTAGCACAGCCTGGCTCCAAGTGAACTGTCAATAGAGAGAGGTTTTTCACGGGGTGATCCAGAAGGCTTCCGCTCAGCCCCACACGCATGCCCTTCTCTCGAGCAGAAGCAGGGCCGGAGGGAGAGGACGTGACTGGCAGGCTCTGGACGGAGGTGGGAGTGCTGCTTCCCCATCCTCGCCCAGCCCCTGGCTCTGGAGGAAGGACCAGGAGGGGACCAGGTTTCCTGCTCAGGCAGCATGGGTTCCTGCCCATGGGCGTGGTCCCCCGAGCAGCGTCAGGGAAAATGCCACCCGGCGGCGGCCCGGCCCCACTGGTCCCTCTGGGCACGGGGCTCTGCTGTCAGGTTTGGTAAATATCCATCAAAGGCACGCAGAGGAGGGGACCCCCATATCCTCCAGTCCTTCCACCCGGCATCGCAAGGTGGGCAGCGGCCGACATCCGTGGACCTCCTGGCAGGCCCGCCTCCCAGCCGTCCACACTGTGAGTGTGGGCAGGACCCGGGAGCCCGCCGTCTCTCCCCTATTTTTGTATGATTTTGTACCGTCTTCGCGGGCCGGGTTTTCTCTGCCCTGATCAGAGTCCTTGGAGGGGAGTTCTAAGGGGCTTCGCCGCGACAGGTCTCTTCCACTTGGAGCTCAGTGTGAGGATGGTTCCCCATTTTGCTTCCTCCCCTCACAGAGCAGGACAGACTTCCCGTAGGACTAGTTAAAACACCAACAGCCCCGTCCTGGGGCTCGGAGGCGAGGGGCAATGCCCACACAGCCATCAGGACGTCTTGGGAATGGAAAAGCCAGGTGTGGCCCAGGGACGGAAGCGGGGTCCTTAGGGTGCATGTGCCCCAAACGCCCCCTAGGGGGCGCTCAGGAGACGGCCTCCTTCTGCGGGTGGAGCCTGGTTTGGGGGAGGTCAACTTGTGTCTTGGTGAGGTCTTTGGGCTCTTTGATGTGTCTCTTGACTTGCTAGGTGGCCCTTCGACCAGGTGGGTATGGGAAGGCATCAAAACTCATCATTCCAACCACAGTCTCCTGGGAAAGTCCTTTCTCTCGGATATGCCACCTTCATAGCAAGTGATTGTCATTCCAAAGTGTCAGACTGAGACTCTGTCCTCGGAGGGACTTGCTGTGTGTTGGAAAACAGACTCTTCTGCATCTGGGCGCAAGGCCATGTGGTCCTTCCAGCGTCAGACCCTTGCAATGTGGCCCAGGAGATGCTCTGCCCAGCTTTCCTGACCCCTGCCCACCCCACACCAGCTGCACTGGCTCCCTTGCCAATATGGCCAGGTAGCATAAGCCTGCTCCTGCCCCAGGGCCTTGGCACTGGCTGTCGCTCTGCCTGGGGGGCTTTTCCACAGAGACCCGTGTGCTGACTCCTTTATCACTGTGAATTTTGTATTCAAGCATCAGGCATCCTATGGAGGGTAGGAGCACAGACTGGCCTTGAGTCTCTTTGCGGTCACTGGCTAGCCATCTGACAGGACCCACCTCTCTGCTTCACTTTTCTTCTCCGTAAAATGAGACAGCGGCATCTGTTCACAGGGTTGCGTGAGCATGATGTGACTCAGTGCTTGCACCTAGAGCCTGACACAGAGTACCAGGGAAATAAGTGACCACCAAAGAAATAAACCCAATAAGGCAGCGACAGCGGTCCTGTTCAGACGCCCCACACTCCCGTCGCCCTCCGCCGCACTGTCACCTCCAACACATTTCACTTATTTATCTCTTACATTTATTATGTACTGTCCACCTCCCCCAAGCAGAGCTCCTGGACCACAAGCTCCGTGAGGGCGGACATCTGCTGGCTTGCCGACGTGGCCGTGTGCCTAAAGAGCGCCCCTCACAGAGGGCGGGAGGCAAGTGCCTCCTCCCCTTTAGGATTCGGCTAGATTTTAAACCATGCTCTTCTGTTTACATAGATGTGTAGAGATTTCCAAGTGGGGAAGCCAGGCTCTGCAGAGACACAACACTGGACCCCAGAGAATGAAGTGAGATGCTGGTCTTGAAGTCATGGGTCTGAGTTTCCTATTGCTGCTGTGACAAATGACCACGCACGTGGTGGATTAAAGCATGAATTTATTGTCCTACAGTTCTGGAGGTCAGAAACTCCAAGTGCATCTTATGGGACTAAAATCAGTCTGTCGGCAGAGCTAGGTCTTTCTGGAGGCTTCCGGGAAGCATCTGCTCCTGGCCTTTTCTGGCTCTCAGAAGCTGCCCACACTCCGTGGCTCTTGGCCCCTTCCGCCACAAGGGCACTGCTCTGAACTGGCTCCCCTCACGGTGTCTCCTCTGTGACCCTGACACCTCCGCCTCCCTTCTCTTAGGAACCCTCACGATTCCGCGGGACCCACGTGGTCAGCCCAGGACCTTCTCCGCGTTTTAAAGTCACATCTACAAACGTGCATTGTATGTTAAGAAGAAAAAAAAAAAACCCTAGACAATTTTTAATAGGAAAAGTAGCCCAATGTCTCCAATATAAAATAATATAAATGATCGCATGTCTGTGTGTAATTTAGTCTCACTTTTAAATTTTGGTGTTACTATTCATATATACAAATCTGTGAGTGGAGCATCCTTAATCAGAAATTCCTGAATCAAAACCTAAAGTGCTCCAAAATCCAGAACTTTTTGAGTACCAACGTGAGAACACAAGTAGAAAATTCCACACGGAATCCCATGGGACAGTTTGTACTCAGAATGCAGGTGCGCTAAAAATATTGCATAAAATTACCTTGAGTCTACTTATATAAGTCGGATAGGAAGCATAAATGAATTTTGTGTTTAAACATGGGTACCCTCTCCATGGTAGCTCATTATATATATGCAAATAGTCCAAATCCAAAAAAAGAAAAAAATTCTGAAATACTGTGGTCCCAAGCATTTTGGGTAAGGGATGCTCAGTCTGCGTCTGTGCAGATATCATACACACACAGGGACTCTGGAGATACCAAATGATTAGCAGCAGTTGTGGCGGATATGGCTTTGATTTCTATATGATTTAAGCTTACTTTTTGTGTAATAAGGATTTATTTCTACATGGAGAATGACTTCTTTTTACTTCAAAAGGTTTTTAAATAAAGAAAATGAAAACGAGATAGAATAAAGGCACATTTCAGGGAATATAAAAGATTTGGTGCATTCTTTTTAGCCTTCTTTCAACATGTAGAATGCAGTTGCTACTGAATATGTAGTTTTAAGGCCTAATTTTTTGGGGGGTACTGGGAATTAAAACCGGAGTTCTTTACCGCTGAGCTGTGAGCTGCATCCTCAGTCCCTTTTTTAAAATTTTATTTTGAGATAGTCTTCCTAAGTTGCCTATGTGGGACTAGCACTTGTGATCCTTCTGCCTCAACCTCTTGAGTGATGGGATTATAGGCCTGTGCCACTGCTCCTGTCTAGGCCTGACTTTTTTAAACTTAATTTTATGTACTGAACACTTTCCATGTCATTAAGGATTCTTGGCTTATGTATTTTTAATGGCTGTATAATA